ACCTCAACCCTGCCTGGGCAAGAGGCCCAGGACCACCATACAGCCTGGTCTCTATACTGTCATCAGCTCTGGATTGTCCTCTGCCAAGGACTTAGGCCCTGCGGTGGGTCTGGCGCCGAATCTTACCCTTAATTCTACCTGCTCCCTGTGTGCTAGCCTGGAAGTGAAAAGTTGTCTTACTTCACCTGGAAACAGTCAAATCCTGAAGGGCTCATTGCAGAAAATGATGCTGATGCTCAGAGCTGGACAGTGGAGAAGGCTGGCTGTGGGTCTGAGACCCCACACTGTCACAGGGATCCTTGGTCCCAGCCAGCTGACTCCCAGGGCTTCAAGTGAGGAGCCTTCCCCTTGCCTCAGATCTGGGCACTGCACTGATGTCTAGCTGATGGGGGTGACCACATGTGATGAGCTCTCTCCTGATGTCCCTGCTTGCTTTGGAGAGGGGATGGGATCTCTGATTGCACAACCACCCAGCCATGACTTTGAGCGAAATATTCTCAAAGCTTGGAGTTAGCCCAAGTCCAGCCCTCTGCTCACACAGACCTCCGCCTGGTAGCTGAACTCCAGTCAGTCGTGGCCTGTGCCCTCATGACTCTCTGGGCCCAAGGGTAGAGTGAATGAGTGGGAGGAGGAAGGAGGGAGGTGACAGTCTAGTCCCACTAGTAGGGCCTCTCTTCCCTGTCCATACCAAAGCATACAATCCATGTCCCCTCCAAACTCGCCACTCCCCACTTATTCTACAAGTTTCTCAAAAGGTGTTTTTATTGCTCCCTTAAACAAATATACATTTAAAACATCAACATTATGGCTGGTGGGTATAGCTCACCCAGCATTGGCTTCTTTCCCAGGTGACTGGCTAAAAGGACACCCATTTCCTACAGCAGGAGAATCCCACCCCAGCCAGCACACAGTGCACCCTGTCTACATAGGGCTGATTTAAGAAAACAATAACAAGCTGGGTGCCAGTGGCTCATGCCTACAATTCTAGCTACTCAGGAGGCAGGGATCAGGAGGATTGTGGTTCGAAGCCAGCCTGGACAAATAGTTCACAAGACCCTATCTCAAAAAAATCTTTCACCAAAAGAGGGCTGGTGGAGTGGCTCAAGGTGGAGGCCCTGAGTTCAAGCACCAGTACTGCCAAAAAAAAAGAAAAAAAAAAACCCAATAACAAAGACCCCCCCACAAGCAGCAGAAAGCACTGGGAAGGAAGATAGGCCTTGGGGCTGCAGTGTTAAGCAGATCTGGGCCTCACCCAGGGGTGGGAGGGCCTTCAGAGGGGATCTGAGGCCCTAGGTGACCCCATGTCCACACACATACTTGACCTGTTAGTTATTTCCAACATGTCCTTATTTTTCCAGTGCTGGGGATGAACCCTGGGTCTCTTGCATGCTAGCTAAGCACTTTACCACTGAGCCCACCTCTAGCCTATGTCATTTTTTTGTTTGTTTGGGTTTTTTTTTTTTTTTTGGTGGCACTGGGGTTTGAACTCAGGGCCTTGAGTTTGCTAGGCAGGCACTCTTACCATTTGAGCCACTGATTTTTTGATCAGGCAGCACAGCACAGTAGGCAGCTGCAGGTAGGATTTCCATTCCTCTGCCCCTGGCTGAGGGACAAGGAGATCCACGGCACCTCTCTAAGTCCACCGTCCTTTCCTATCCAGCGAGAATACTACCAAATGGGCCTGAGAATGTGCCTGCAGTTGTTGCCTCTTGTGACCTCTCAGTGCCCTGACACCTCCTGCTCAGAGGGCCCACTCACCACTGGCACGCCACAGTAGCTTCTTGTCATTGCTGAAGTCTGCTGAGGACAGTATGGGCCTCTCCCCGTGAAGTCCTGTGAGGCTTAAGGCAAAGTCAGAAGTAAAAAATGGGGGTACCCACACCCAACCAGCTGCTATCCCAGGGTACCCAGCCTAAGGCTGGCTGCATTTGCATGCTATTTGCATAAATCTGCCCAAGCGCTGTAATCCCAGTGTGTCTTGGAGTCAATTATTGCATTTAGGAAGCTCTGACTTCTAGGAAGAGGCATTAGCATAGGGGTGGCCTCCTGGGCTTCATGACAAAGGGATACCCAAAGCCCTTCCCTAACCCTGAGCAGAAAATGACTCCCTTGGGCCTACTTGTCCTGTCCTCAAGTCCTTTTCTGGTGGATACTGCCAGAAATTCTACTAACTGGGGGAAGCAAGACCTTTATAAGCCTAACTTAATCAAATTAGAATGAAATTTGTGGAGGGGCCCTGGGATGTGTAGCTAACCTAAAATGTTAAATGTGACCTCAGCTTAATGCAAGTAGAAACTCCAGGCTTCCCATTCTTGGTCTATGCCCTCACTCTCCTAGAGAAAAATGCAGGGATCTCTGTAAAGTGAGACCCCTTCATATTACTTCTGAAAAAATGGGGGTGTTGGAGCTCAGAAAACAGTACCCCAAAGGAGCCTGCTGTGGTAAACTGATTAAACACGCCAACCTGGGCCTGGGGACTTGTTGCAAGCTCTCAAGACTTACTGTGTCGCCTAGCTAGATTTCAAGACACAGTTGGACAATTCAACCTTCCCATTAGTCCTAACCCAGCCTCACATATTCCCTTGGACCCCCTCTCTATGACTGCCAGGGAGATTGGCATTTCTGAAGGGAAAGAGGCCATCTGGACAAGAATGTGGTGGGAGTGGGTACAGAGACAGACCTATGGACTGAATACCCAATAAATCACATGCTAAACTATGTTGCTCTGAAAACAGTTTTGGACCCGAGGCCCAAACTCCTGGAATTCTATATCCCGGGTCCAGCCACTGTCCCCTATATGCCAAATAAAGAGACAGGATGAAGGTTAAAGAAAGGAGATTTACTACATGGCCCAAGAGACAAAGTTCTTTAGCCATCTTCAAGGTACAGACAAGAGCTATAGGTTTAACTAGACAAAGAACTGGAGGCAGAGGGAGAGAAGTAGGCATAGATAAACAGTCCCAGTCCGAGGTGTGGTCTGACTGGACGTTATCTCAGTTCTTGTTTGGGAGGAGGTTCCAGAGAAGCTGTTATCCAGAGTCATTGTCTGGCAGGTGGTCCATCTTGAGGAGACTCTACTGTTAGGATAGTTTCAGTCTCTTGTCATGCGGATGTTAGCAGTTCTGTTCTGCAAAAATAGTGCCTGGAATATGGCAAGGCCTCAAAAGAAAGAAAAAAAAAATCTAGCTATCATTATCAGTCATGCCTCTTAAATCTTCCTGGTTCCCACTACCAGCATGGTCAAGCTTTACTTCTTACCAAAGGCAAAACAGGCCTTGCCAGTCTACCCCTTCTTCCCCTGCCCCATCTCCTGCAGTTCTTTTCAGGTCCCCCAAACCCAGGCAGAGGACAGGGCCTGCTCCCAGCTCTCACAGCAGCAGGGAAGCTTTCAGCACTAACATTTCAGGTGGCAGCCATTGCTCACCTGGGTTTCCTGCCCTGGAACAGGGGGAAGTAAGAGGAAGCCCAGTTCCCTGCCAGCTTCTCCCAGGAAGTCCTTTTCCCAGGGAGGAGACAGCCCTGCCTGGAGGCACAGTTCCTCAGGTAGCTGGCCTTCTCAGCAGTCTACCTTCTCTTGGAACACCCCTTCTTTTCCTCTCTGATATCTATTTTTTAATGAACACTTCGTTAGTGCCAGGTATTTCCCTGGTAGTGTCACACTCACTACAACCAGGAGGAATATAGACTTCCATTTTAACAATGGAGGAAACAGCAAAACTCAGCAGAGAAGGTGAATTTGTTTTTTAGTGGGACTGGGGGATGAACTTGGGACTTTGTGCTTACAAAGCAGGTGCTCTACCACTTGAGCCACACCTCCAGTCTATCTTTGCTCTGGTTATTTTGGAGATAGGGTCTTGCGAGCTATTTGTCAGGGCTGGCCTTGAACCCCAATCCTCCTAATCTCAACCTCCCAAGTAGCTAGGATTACATCCATGAGCCACGGGCACCTGGCTGAGAAGGTGAATTTGAACCAAGGTCCACTGGACTCCAAAGCCCAAGCATGTTCTTTTACTCTGTAGATGTTCCAGAGGTCAAGGTCTTGTCTCTCCTCTTCCCTGGAGGCCCTAAGCCAACCACATCCAGGGCCATTGTCTCCTTTATCTTTTCCCAGCAGGGCCTTGACTTCTTCCAGGCTGCAGTCACTGGCAATGTCTGAAGATGGCTCTGAATGACAGCCCTCTAGAGTGTTATCCATGAAGTCAGCCAGTGTGCCTGACAGAAACAGACTCTTGGTGTCTTCCCTGACATCCCATACACCTGCTTTCCTGCAGGGCAGATCTCAGACCAGGTGGATGCAACATGGAGCTGTCACTTTGCTAAGAGGCTGGGGCTGGGAGATCTCTCTTGGCAGGGTGGGCTGCATTTTGAGGAGTGTTGGGAGAGAATTATCTCCCTCCAGTCATTTTGCATGCACCCCTCTGTGGTGCCTCACACCCAGCTGGCCCCAGTCCTTGCAATAAAGAGCTCACCAGAGGCATGCAGGCCATTGACCACAGGAGCATTCTATCTGGGAAAGCAGAGCTAGGAAATCAGGCAAACCTGTTCCAACTCCCAGATCTGTCATTTCCTGGCTGTGTGATACTAAGCCAGTCACATCCATCCAGCCCTTGAAAAGAGGGGCTGATCCATTCATTTTGTAGTAGCAGTGTAGCACAGTGCTCACCACTGGCTCAGCAAATGTCACTTTCTTTCCCTGCCCTCCCCTTGAGGGCCAAGCCCCAGGAAGCATAAGAGGCGCTTAAACTGCTTTTGTTGTTAACTAAAAGCAGGAGAAAAGCTTGGCATCCCTGCCTCAGTTTTAGATTTGTCTTCACTCTAAGCCATTGTCTCTGCAGTCACCTTGGATTCCAGGAAGGCCAGAATTGATTACATCTTCATGACAAGGCACTGAGACTAACCCTAACAGTAGAGCCTCCTCAGGATAGATACCACCTGCCAGGTGACAATGACTCTGGATAACAACTTCTCTGTAACCTCCTCCCAAAACAAGGACTCATATAATGACCAAACCAGACCAATGTAAGTATGCATTCCTCTCCCCCTGCCCTAATTCATTGTTTATTTAAAGTTAAAACTCAAGGCATGAACCTGTAATCCTCGCAACTCAGGACCCAGAGATCAGGAGTTATTTGCCAGAAAACTGAGCAGGGTGATGCATCCCCAGGCCTGGAGGAAGGCCTCATCGCAGCCCTTGAACTCTGTGTTTGCACGTGGCCCAGAGGCCACTGACTTGCACGTCCCACTCTCCCCAACTCTCCCCCCTGCCCCACCCCCAACCCCTGTGTGCTGGACGGGACTGTGACCTGCCTGTCCTCCAGCCTTAGCTCACACTGGTCTCCGCTATCCCAGCTGTGCTGAGTGAGCTCCAGCCACCCAAACTGGGTGTCCCAACAGCAGAAGGAGCAGCACAAGGAGAGATGGCAGCTGAGGCTCCTGATGACCACGACTCCTGCCCTACTGTCCCTGCCCAGGGCTGTGGAAAGCCACCTGACAAGAACAGTGCCTCCAGCTCCAGACCTGGTGAGCTGGGCTCTGATGGGCAGGGGGGAAGCAGAAAGTGGCACATGGCACCCAGTTAGTATCCTGGGCCGATCCTTACCACCATCAAGTGACCCCCAGCAGAACCCTAAGAAGGTGGGCATCTTCCATGCCCTCAACCTTTCTTCAAAATCCAGCCAAAGTCGTGCCATGGCCACCAAAGGGTCACTTGGACTCAGTCAAAAGGAAGGGGATCACCTTCTGTAGTGCACACATCTCTCCTATTTATTTTGCTTACTGAGTTGGATTGTCCCAAAGGCAACTTGAGATAACTTAGAATGAATAGCTTAACAATAAGGCTAATAATAAACTAAGCACAGAAAAGTCATGGGCTGGGAAAAAATAAAATCAAAATGTTTAAGAATATGGATAATATTGTGTAATAAGGATAATATAGTCAGAGCATGGTTCCGAGTACCCTGGTCACCATAGTGAGAAGGGAAATATAGCCAGTTATTGGAAAGGAGTAAGCATACTTGTCTCGTTTTCTTTCTTTCTTTTTTTCTGGAAGCTCTGTATAGTAGGCATTGAGTGTTATGAAGGGTAGGGTCATTTACTCCATATTTATAGAAACTCGGAAACAGACTAAAGGCTATTCGGCTTACAAGGACATTTGAGAACACAGAGTATGACACTGAAGTGTAACCCAGAGCAGATGAGTGTTGTTCTGTTGATCTGCCCTGACCCAGTGTGATCTTTCCTGACCCAGGAAAGTGGTCAGTTCCTGCAGTTGTACTGTGGACCAGTGCTTTCGGCTGTACTACAGGACCCTGTTGAAATGAGGTCCTAATTTGGGAACTCTGGAGTGGGTCTGACACTGCGATTCTGAAAACCTCCCTGCCATTGCCATACCCGCTTCTTGGCAGCAGGGCTGAAGTCCAGCCTTCTCTAAGTGTCAGTGTTAGGGTACCTTCGAGGCTTGCAGCCCACTCAGCCTGAAACCAACCATGGCTAACATGACCCAAGTCGCCACTTACTGGAACAAAGCGAGGTGGGATGGTTTCTGGGAACAGGGACTGTTTCTGGTTAATCTTGCTAAACGGTATGAGTTAAGACACCTGGTGTCTATCAAGTTCCTGATAAGTAATCTTTAAGTAATCTTGTCCCACCACCAGGATGTGGGTGATATCAGAAATATGTGACCCCAGGGGCCATAAAAATTGCTGTGTGACCATGACTAATGTTTAAAATTAAAATATATATATATATATATATATATAAAAGCAGCCTGAACTTTGCATTCGGGGTCCTCGTTGAAACCCGCTGCGTCGGGCAGATACCTGGACCCCAGCTAGAAACCTTGCTTTGTGGCTTACATTATCGTGAGTGTCTTTTGTTCCTCTGAGGGGTGGTCGACCTCGGACCCCAACATCAGAAGCACCTATCCAGCGGCCCCACTGGAAAGGCAATACAGTGTCTGTGACAGACACAGTGAATCTGATCCCTGGCTGAGCACGTGCAGGTGCCAGCCGGGCTTCCCCATGTCCCAGTTGGCCACCTTGATCTAGTCACAAGCCAAGACCCTGGATTTCTCGTAAGTTTATTAAGTACCTGGTGTGTAGCAGGTTCCCTGCTAAGGTACTTTTTCCTTAAAAAAATGGCCAGTCCTGCCCATCCCACCCTGCCCTATCCTGTCCTTCCCTAGTACCTGCCTCTAGAACCTTCTCCAGGCTCTTTCACTGCCACAGTACACAGATTCTCATAACCCTGAACTTGTTTTTCCTCTCTTGAGAGCTTACATTTTCATAGAGGGCTGGAAGGAAGCAAACTTACACCACAGCAGGGTACCAATGTTGGTTGCAGGGAGGTTTGGGGTTGCTTGGGGTGGTTCCCAGAACCTCACAAGCCACACTATACAAAGCCACACAATATATGATACTGTATCACAATAATGTAGCCTGGAAAGCAAGCCCCAGCTTGCCTCATGGACCATTCTCCTCTCCCTGCCTGCTTCAGCTCTGGGCATAGCCTACAAGGCCCTGCCCACCAGGTCATCATGATGGCAAAGACAATTCCCCATTTGCCTACTCACTGTCAGGATCCTCCACCCCAAGTGCAGTCCCTCCCTTCCTGACAGAAAAGAACAGCTTCCTGCACCCCAAAAGCTTGGGGGAGTCCTACAGTGCCTGTCTAGTAGGAAAAAGTACCATCAGTAGGGAGCAGAATCTTCCCTGAAGCCATAGCCCACACTACACGGCCTGGGCAGGACCAAATCCAGGTGGTCTGGCTTCTGACCAGGGCTGTCAGAGTACACCAGGGCCCACGGCTTCCTGTGGCCATCTCCTTTTAACAGTCAATTAGAGTATTTATTTTGTGAAATGGATGTGCTCTGTCCCTATCTATAAATGCGAGGTCATTCCATGAAGCGGAGTATGAACATCTCACTTCTCCCTGCCCAAGTAGAAGATGAACCCAGATTCTTGTCCTGGATACTGTTGTCCTCTTAGCCAAAGGGCTAAGCCTTGTTGTCCTCAAGGAAAACGGCTACCTCAGGGGCTCTGAGCAACTGCAGGTGCAGACACACTATAAATGCACATATGGCCTTTGTTGTATCTTTGGCCTACAGTGCTGAGCACATGAAACAGGAAATCAGGAGCCCAGCAGAAGCTTCCCAGAGATGCTGAAGGAGGCAACGGAGAGTGAGATGAGGAGGGTGAGATGAGGATAACAGATATTTCCTGGGCCACGCACTGGGTCAGGCATAGGGATATGGGAATGAGCAAAGCAGACAGACTTCGCTGCTAAACAACAGACCTTGAAATCTGCTTTATTGTGAGTTAGAAAGTGACATCAGTTATGAAAAAGGAAAATGAGCAGGCCGGAGGATGCGGGATGGGAACTGATGAGGTGGCAAAGACTTGAGGGAGGAGGGATGGGGTCACCCGGACACCTGGGGTCCTGCGAAGAGGACAGCAAGGGTGGAGCCCTGCCTGAGGGTTGCCTAAGCATCCTGCCTAACTAGAGAAAACCAGCTGGGCAGGATAGAAAGTGAGCAGAGAGGGGGACAATAGATGAGGTGGACAGCCAATCATGTAGGGCCTTGTTTGCCATTCCAAGGACTCTGTGACCCGGCAAGCCAGGGCAGGGTTCTCAGCAGAGAAGTAATATGATCTAGTACTTGGGCTCTGACTGCTGTGTCTGGGCTGACCCAGGACCCCAGAGGTGTTGGGCCTACAGAGGTGTTGGGCAAACCTGAGGGCATGACCTCCCTCCTGGAGCATGGAAGGGCTCATGTGCTTTGGGGTATTAGGCCCCCCAACCTCAGGAGACATTTACTGAGCTCGCACCCACACAAGATCCTGTGCCAGCTGAGGCGAGCTCACACTCAAGGCATGCCCGGTCCAGGGGAGGAGGGTGGCCAAGTGCAAAAGCTAATGGCATGGATTCTTCCAAGGATGCCAGAAGACCCCCTCCCAGCACTTCCATTTCCCAAGCCTGAGCTCCTTGTGCCACCTTGTTGGAGTTGCAGGAAGGGTACTCAGAGACTCCCCTCAGCCAAAGCAGACACTTAAGATCCATAGGATGAAAGGAACTGGTTCCTGTCTTCTCTTCAAGATTACAACCCACTGCACAGGCCACTTGCCAGACCTGATATCCCCAGGGCAGGGGCCAGCACTGGGCATCTGTGGCAGTCCTTGGAACATTGTCTGGCCCAGTGGGCCACTGAGTTGAATGGATAAAAGAACTTCGAGAACTGCTACTGGAGCTCAGAGGGTGTTCGCCTGGTGCAGGGTGGGCAGGAGGATTCTTGAAGAAGACAGGTGAGGGTTTGGGGACCTGTAGACTGGTAAAGCAGAGACCAAGGGAGAGAGGGCATGGCAGGAGAAGAAAGCATGATGTGCTCATAGGGGGTCTCCTAGGTGGGTGGGAAGGTAGAGGGGCCGCCCACAGCTGCACTTCTTACACAGGGAGGGCAGAACTCTGTCTCTTCAGCCCCACTATACCTTTTAGGATACCATTTTATAGGGCCATTCCTGAAGCCCAGCCCCCACTTCTACCTCTGACCACGTTAGGCCTTATCTCACTGATACAATGTGGCTTCCTGGAAAAAAGGACTCTGACCTTTTTTCTTGGCCAGAATTGGGGGGTTTGAATTCAGGGTCTTACACTTTCAATCCTCCTGCCTTTGCCTCCCAAGAAGCTGGGATTACAGATGTGCACCACCAGGCCTGGCACTCTTAGGAACTTCTTAGGGATAGCTTGAAGGTGAGTGTGGTGATATGTGCCAGTAATTCCAGCATTTGGGAAATGGAGGCAGGAGGACTGCCAATTGGAGGCCAGCCTGGGCTACATAGCAAGACCTTGTCTCAAAAAAAAAAAAAAAGGTGTGTCACCCGTGGCTCATGCCTGTAATCCTAGCTACTCATGAGGCAGAGATCAGGAGGATCATGGTTCGAAGCCAGCCCAGGGAAATAGTTTCATGAGCCCCTATGTAGAAAAAACCCTTCACAAAAAAGGGCTGGTGGAGTGGCTTAAAGTGTAGGCCCTGAATTCAAACCCCAGTACCCACCCCCCCAGTCTGGAATATTCCAGAAGGACTCCTAGAGGCCAGGAAATCCCTACTCAGCTTTCAGAAACTGAGTGAAGTTGGTACCAACTTCCTTGCCTGTACAGGGAGGTAACTGTCAGCAGCGGGTGTCCTCATAGGTGAGAGTACCCAATGACACTGTGCTGTGCCCCAGGCCTGTAGTGTGCCATGAAGACATGGGCCTTTAGGGTTGGGAGTGGCAGCATTGGGCAGTGTCCCTGGGCAGGTGAGCACCTTTGTCAGAGGCAGGGTGACGTTTTGGAGCCCAGAAGGCCTAGACAGGGCTCCAGATAGTCAGCAGGTCCTGGAGTCCAGCCGGGCCTTGAAACCTGCGGACTCTAAGGAAGGGTCATAGGTTGGCACCAAGGATTGACAAGGGATAGAGATGTGATGGGATCATGCAATCTTGTTGGAGGGAAGAGGAAGGGCCTCTCCTGCCTGCACTTCCACTGCAGGGGACAGAAGGGACCCGATCTACCTAGCACCATTGCCTCTGCAGCCTTCACCAGCCACTTGACCCGCGCTGTGACCTCGGCCATAAAACGGGACTTGACTTTGAGGCATCCCTCAGATTGAAGGGGGCGGGGGTCACCTCGTCGGCCACATTCTGCTTACTCTAGTTAAGAGGTGGTCAGGAGTTCTGCTCACTTTAACGGTGCAGACTAGGAAGTGGCCAGGCTGGCTCCGAGCGTCTTGCAGGGGGCGGTAGAGGAGGGTGGCAGGTGGCCTCCACTGCAGGACTGGGCGGGGACCAAGGACCCTGCAACTCCCCGATTGCGGGCAGGGGAGGTGGCCCGGCGGGATAAGCAGCGGCAGGCTCGCGGGCGGCCACCTCCCCGGTAGGTCCGGCCCCGCGGCCTGGCGGGCGGGGCGCGCGGGGCGCGCGGAGGGGAGGAGCCTGAGATCGAGCGACCGCCTCCGCCGGGACCTGCAGCCGCCGTCGCTTGATCTGAGTGGCGGGCCGCAGAGGTGAGTGACCCCTCCCCGGTCGTCGCAGGGCTGTGGGCTGCGCCCTGTCCCCGGGACCCTGCCCTGCGCCCGCCCGGTGACGATCGGAGCTGTCGCTACACGTCTGGCTGCCTCAGTCCCCCAGACCCAAGCCACGTGCGCCGGGCGGCAGAGGAACCCGGTCCTGGTCTTCCACCCAGTGAGCTTGCTTCCCCAGGGACGGAAGCCGCGTGTGGCAGGTGGGGTGGGCAGGGCAGGGACGCAGCTGGGGGAGAGAAGGCGTCGGGAGCCCGGGGTGCAGACGCAGGCGCCCCTCCGGATAGCTGGGACAAGACTTCAGGTCGCGAGTGTCCCACGGCTTTCCTGCGGGTCCCAGGGGAGAGAGGACCCTGTGGGCGGGACCTTTCTCTCCAGGCCTCCCACCCCTTAGCGGTTGGGGCGGGGACACCGACCCTGTGCCTAGGAAGCCGGACTGCCCCGTGCCCGTCTCTGCCCGCAGAGCCCTAGTCTGGAACGAACCTCCTCCTGCTCACTTCTCCGAAATTTGGGAGCAGGTTGCCGGGAGAAGTGTGGTTGGAACTTTGGTCACTGGTTACATGTAAAGGAGGGTGTGCATTATGTCGTTTGGGAGACCAGAGGTGCGATCGTGCGTCGGGGGTGAGGAGGAAAATGCCAGCAGGTTCTGTTGGAGCCCTGGCATAGAGCACCAAGAGGCCTCTCAGGGGTCCATGGCCACCTCTGAGACAGGCTACAGAAGTAAGGGTTCAGGAATTGCCCCAGGGAGGTATTTCTGCCCATCAAAGTGCAGTCATGACATAAATAATAGCAAGCATTTATTGCGAATTTATGTGTGCCAGGCCCCTTGCTAAGGGCTCTGCACACACATCCCCGGCTAATCACCACAGCAGGAAGCCACCATTATCATCTTTTGTTACACATGGGGATGTGGAGCCTCAGAGAGCCTGACTGTTCTAAAAAGCAAGGTTACACAGGTAGTAAGTTGCAGAAGTAGAATTTGAACCCAGACTTTCCAGACTTGGGAACCCAGATGATCTTTTGGTGGGGAGAGACTAGTGGCCTCAGAGGATGCTGGCAGCCCAAAGAATGCATGCCGGGGCCAGAATGCTCAGAAGACCATAGGGTCTCAGCTGGGTGTACCCCTTCAGTCATCTGCAAGCTCTGTTAAACTTGCAGGTGCCCAGTGGCAATTGGCCCACTCAGCCAGGAGCACCTGGAGGGCCCAGCCTGTCCTACTTATCTCTGTCACCAGTGGGCTGTAAAGGGGCTGGCAGGGAGGAAGTGCTTAATGGATGTCTGATGGACAGATGGGCATAGTGGAGCAGATGGTGCCACTGGTCAAAGGTGGGGGGAGGAGGGAACTTCCAGGAGGCCTTGAATGGTGCTGAGGTGGCCTCAGCCAGGCAACCTGGGATGAAGATAAGGAGTTGGCATGGGGTAATGTTGACCTCGGGGCTGGCAAGGAACTCGGCCAGGCTACCTGGTCACCCGAGGGTTGAACAGCCTTCTCCAGGCCTATTGAGGTCCCCAGGACTCAGTCTGGTCAAACTGGACCTGCAGATGTGCCTTTTCCAGCATGGAGATGTCAAACAGGTAGATTTCTCTCCTGTTATTGTTTCCAGTCCGAACCCCATGGCTCTTCTCTCCCTGGACTTAACAGAGACCAAAGTGTAGGGCAGAGCCTCAGAGGGTTAAAAAGTGAAAGTTCTTGACCAAAGTCCAAAGCCTCACACCTGAGCACTGTGTGGGGCGAAGGCAGGTGAGTACAGGGAGAGAGCCCGGCTTTGGAGTCAGGTGGACTGACATTGAGGTCCTCAGCCTGCTGCACTTGTTTCTTCACTTGTAAACCTTGCTGAAAGCAAGAATGAGATCCCTCATTCTTCCCCTAGCGTTTGAGTGTTCATTTGATGGGGAACTTCCAGGCTCAGTGCTCTTTTAGTCTGAACCCCTCTCATAAAGGCCCAGAGAGTCCCCTTCTCTGTGGCAGAGTGGCCTCATTCCTAGACTCAGATCCCTGCTTAGTGTTTAGGCGGAGGCCTCCAGCCTAGGAGAATTCTATACCAACTGCTTCCTTCTCTGTGCAGCCTGTGTGGGTTGAGGTGGGGGTAGGAACAGCCATTCAGGGACTTGGGTTCCCCTGCCTTCCCACTGAGGCTGAATCCACCCCTTCCTGCCTTCCCTACCTTCCATGGTGGCCAGGACTTCCTGGGCTGGGCAAGCTGGAGCTGAGTAAGTTAAGTACTCTGTAAAACTGCTTTCTAATATTTGGACCAGAAATGGCCTGTGGATTTAAAACAAAGCTTGTCGATTAAGTAATTATTAGAACTACTTCAGGCTAGGGTGGCTCTTTTCCTCTTTCCTGAAAGGATGTGTGCCTCCCCCCACCCCCACTCCACCCCCACCCCAGTTTGGAAGGGTGTGGAGATTAGAAGCTTGGCGATGGGAAGGAGGGGATGAGGTGTGGCATTGTGGGTGGTATACAGAGGTCTCACTTCCTCCCACCTGCCTCTGAACTTGGCCTCCCAAAGTTTCCAGGTCTCTGCTTTGTCCAGCCTCTTCCATCCTTTCCCTGCCATGCACAGCACTCATACCTGAGACAACAGAGCCCTCATTCCCGGCCCTAGCCATTCAGCCTTGGCCAAATCCAGTATATACATGAGCTTTTTTGTGCCTCAGGACTCTTAGGAGATGAATGGTGTTATTCTCCCAACCACGCAACATTTCCGAGGAGAGACGAGACTCCGGTCTCTTCTTTCAACCCCAAGTCTGAGACTCCTAACCACTGTCTGTATGCCTATCTAAATTCTGCTCATTATTCATTCATTCAACAAACATTTACTGAGCACTAACTTTGTGCCAAGTATAATAAGACTGGCTGAGTCTCACATCTGGCAGGATAAATGTCTCAGCTATCATTTGTCACCCCCCCATACTTCCTGTATTTCCAAATATAAGAAAGGAAATGGACCTCAGTGAGGCCCAAGCTAGTGTGAGCCAGGATTCAAAACCAGAGACAACAGGAACGCCTCCACCCCACCCCACCCCCACTGGAGTTATTGACCTTGACCACTGTGCTGCAGCAGGGTTGACAGGTGACTGCTAGTGAATCATAAACTCCTACACTTTTAACCTCAGGGCAGAGTGGTCCCTCCTCATTGCATGTGGCCAGCTCTTCAGAAACACTGCTCTGAATCGACAAATCAGGTGCTATCACAGCAGAAGAATCCTGCCTCTGGAACACCTCTCCAGGCTCAACTCCCCGTCAATCAGTCCCTCCTCATACTTGTCTATTGCCATGTGCAGAACATACAGCAGGTGAACACTGATGTTCTGCAGTCGGGAGGTGATTATTCCTACCTCTTATTCCTATCTTGGTCTTCTGAGTAATGACAGCCATTCATGTGGGATCTGAGCAAAACTTCTTACTATGCTAGGGATCTAACCCAGGGCTTCGAGCATGCTAGGCAAGTGCTGTAACATGCCTCCAGTCCCAAATAGCCCATTTTTAAGCCTTCTTGAGCTATTGGATTAGGAGATTAAACTGTAAAAACAACAAAAAAAAATGACGATAAAAGTAGTCAGTGATATATCTGTAAAGGAATGTGGTGATTGGCAAAGAGTTACTAAGCTTCACTGGGTGGAGTGGGCTGTCAGGGTACCCATGGTTGGCAGCCCATCCATAACTGTAAGTGTCTGATGCTTATGGTGGGGCTATCAGGTTATGTATGGGAAGAGTGGGTTTGTGATATTCCTGGTGGGCTTTTGAGGGTGACAGAACACCCACAGTTGGAGTGAGGGGTGAACTTGCTCTGGATAGAGTCTAAGGTGACTGTGAGCTGGGCCTAGGGGTGGTGGGGAGTGGCCTGCACATTGCCACAGTGGGCTGATGGCTTCTGAGTGCACTGTGCTGAGGCCATGGTGGTCAACCAGGTCTGCGCATGGCTCAGTAGCATATTAGATATAGTGAGGGTGCTGTCTAGTCATTCAGCCCGGTTCTGGATGTGAGGTCTGAGCAGATGCAGGAGGTGAGACTAGGCCTCTGTGGCTTGTTCTTGGAGATGGCTGTAGACTGGCCAGACTGGAAGGGAAGAAAGCCAGACTACCCTGAGTCAAGGACGGGTGGGAGGGGGCCATCTGGGAAAGCCCTGCCCTGGATATCCTGGAGTGGAAACCACAACCCCCATGCTGTTGCAAGTTTTGGTAAGACTACTTTTTGTCCTCCCATGGCCCTTGCAACTCCTGATGAACACCTGTTGTGGTTAGGTAGGGTACCAAGGGGAGAAGGGTGTCCGAGATTGAGGTTGCTCAGGGTATAGCTAGGGTCTCAGTGAGGAACTGTGGAGAGTTTGTGTGCTCTGCCTAGTGGGAGTTCTTTCCTAGAGAAGTGTCATTTCCACTCAGGGCGTCCAGGGGACCACCCACAGCCCTGATAGAAACAGGGCTGCCGAGCCTCCACTAAACACACACTGAGTCAGGGACTGTGGGCCTTGGGCCACCCAGAAACCTGCTGCTCATGCTCCCTGGGCAATTCTTTTCTCTCTCTCTCTTTTTTTGGTGGAACTGGGGTTTGAACTCAGGGCTTTGCACTTGCTAGGCAGGTGCTCTACCACTTGACCCACTCCACTAGCCCTGTTTTGTGTTGAGTATTTTCCGAGACAGGGTCTCTCAAGATATTTGCCCCGGGCTGGCCTCGAATTACAATCCTCCTGATCTCTCCCACCTGAGTAGCTTGGATTACAGGTGTGAGCCACGGGAGACCACTTACCTGGGCAATTCTTGAGGGCTCTGGGGTTTAATAACATTTGAAAGCACTGCCTGAAGCCAGGCACCGGTGGCTCACGCCTGTAATCCTAGCTACTCAGGAGGCAGAGATCAGGAGGATCGAAGTTTGAAGCCAGCCTGGGCAAATAGTTCGTGAGACCCTATGTCGAAAAACCCTTCACAAAAATAGGGCTGGTGGAATGGCTCAAGGTGAAGGCCCTGAGTTCAAGCCCCAGTACTGCAAAACAAAAAAGAAAGAAAGAAAGCACTGCCTGAGCCCATTGACCAACAGATGTGCTGACATCACAGTGGGCAGAACTGTGGGGACATGCATATGGAGGATACACAGGTCCCTGCTGCCCGTCCCCCCCACCCCCTGCCATCCCCTCCTCATGCTGCAGTGACTGTGGGGCATCCACAGAGGCAGAGAGAGAGCCATCCAGGCCTGTATGATGGGTGGCTAAAGCAGGGCAAGAGTTCATGTAAACAAGAGTAATGCCACCCCCACACCTCCTGGGATTTGAACTCAGGGCTTTGCGCTTGTCAGGCAGGCACTGTACCTACCACTTGATTCACGCCTCCCAACCCAACAAGAGCAGCTCTAAGTTGTGACCTTGGGGCTTTCTTGTTCACTGATGTATCTGTTTCACTTC